CATAAATTGTACCTGTAAATGTGCAAATTATCATATTTATTGACTGAAAATTTGAAACTTTTGTATTTTTCTTTTATTTAACTATACCTTATTACTTTATATTTCAAGTTTATACTTTATGCTTTATTAGCTTATATATTATCTTATACATTCATTGCCTTATATATTTTTTCATCTTATACTTTCAGGATATTAACTGCACTAATTTTTAAACTTTTAATTTTAATACAAAATGAAGAAAATGAATTTTGAAGAATTTATTTAAATAGAATTCAAGCGTATAAATTAATCAACGAAATGATGCAACCAATTTTTGTAAAATTATTTAATAAATTAATTAATTAATATGTGTAATTTACTAACCATTCTGTTCAAAATTCCTTTTCATAGGTAAATGTACAATTTTTTTATAAAAGATGGAATGAATGAAGAAGAATTTAATGTTTTTAAACTGATTAAATGTTAATTTCTGAATTATCAATAAAGTGTTGCAAAATTATCCAATCAATGATTGTTTTAATCATTACGCTAATTATCGCCTAAATTAACTGTGTAATTTAGAAAAATACCTGTAAAGATTGGGCATTATCATTAGTTCGTCGACGATTTATCATACGATTTAATAGCAATGAATTGCCGTACGATTTATTGCTTACTGTATCAATTGACGTATCCTTATCGAATGTTCCGATACGTGAAATGGTTGAATTTCCTGTTACTTCGGAATTTTCCATACTTTTTTTTTGTTTTCTTGCATTATTCTCCTCATCTGAACTTTTATTTTTATCATTATCAGTGTCGGTTTCTTCTTCAAAATCATCTGAATAATCTTCGAAATCGTCCTAAAACATTAGCATACAAATTTCTTCAAAATTTTCCCTAACTTTATTAATTTTAAACAAATTTGCCCATATCATTACACATTACTCAATCATTGAATGATTATTTAAATACAATTTTATAGTTACAAAAGTAATCATTGCTATATTTTTGATGGATTTAAATTCATTCATTTTTGATCATCCGATCAAATTACATCTTTCTTTTTTTGTCGTTTTACATTGCCATATTGTTTTATTTTGTCAAACATTTTAATTTAAATTAAAATGGTGCAACATTCAAAACTTATTTCTGTACAATTAATTCTATCAATAATTTCAATAACTAATTCCAAATTCAAGGTTTAAAAAAAAAATTTAGATCTATTATGAAAGAACTTGCTTGATAGTTGTATTGATCGTTATGAATTGAAGGCACTGATAAGACTTTTTGTAATGATTGTTGTTCGGGAAGCAATAACTTGGATGTTTTCAGATTTTGATAATTCAACTTTGAACTTTTCGTAGCCAATGATAATCGTCCAGTTTTATCAATTGAATAATCGCTGATATGATTATTGGAACTTTTATCATTTCTTAATTTTTGCATTGGAACATATTTTTCGTCTAATTGTCGCATTTTTTCATTGCTATTTCTTTCAGATTTTAACCTTTCCAATTTGTCGATAATAGTTTTTTCTGGATAATACTTTGCATTGTTTGGTAAATTTAATCGTGAAATTTTGTTATTTGATGATAAAGTTTGTTGCAATTTGTCGATTGAATTAGATAAATGTACATTTCGTTCTGTCATCTTATTCTGTTCCATTTTTCTTTCCTTTTTTTCTTTGTTAATCTTTGAAACTCCTGCAAATATTTTGTAACGAATAATTGAAATATTACAAATGCGATATTACATTTTAAAATTTTCTAGAATTTAAAGTAAAGAATCAGTATATTTTGGCTTTGACTTTCTTTTCTTTTTTTTTTTAAGAAATAAAAATGAAACAATGTGTGATTTAAATTAATTGCTTAAAAATTATTAAAAATAATTATCAACCAAAAAATCATTGATTCTAATTTGGTACAATCGTTTTTTCAAATCATTAAAAATTTCACTCAAAATACAAGTTGTGATTTAAAGTTTTCACAATTTCAAATTTTTTCCAAAGATTAAAATCCTTTAAGAATATCGTTTTGAAAATCCTTATGCTAGATCTAATAAGATAATTAGCATAATTTAATTGTTAATCAAAAATAGAAATTATATAATTGATTAGCATATTATTGACAAGAAACTAAGCAAACAATAAGGAATTAAAAACCTTCTTTTCGATAATTTCATTATCTTTTTGATCCTTTTTTGTTGCATCATTAGCAATTGTTTTCGGCTTCTTTTCTTTTGGTTCCTTCAATGAAATTTGCATTTTGCTTCTTTCATTCTTCTTCGGACTAAAATTAATTTATTTATTATGATTTACAGTGTTGATATTAATTATGGTAATAATCATAGTTGAAATATTAATTATGATAATAATCATAGTTGAAATATTAATTATGGTAATAATCATAGTTGAAATATTAATTATGGTAATAATCATAGTTGAAATATTAATTTTGGTAATAATCATAGTTGAAATATTAATTATAGTAATAATCATAGTTGAAATATTAATTAGGGTAATAATCATAGTTGAAATATTAATTATGGTAATAATCGTAGTTGAATTTAAGAGATAATATCACCAAATTTACTTATTTACATGATTATTATATGATAATATGAAATGATTATTTAATAAATTAAAAATGGAATGACTTGTTAATACTTCCTATTATAATTTTCATTATTGATTGTATAATTATTGAAAATGCAGCTGTTTGATTTTTTCAAATTTTGAATTTAAAAAGCTTGTGATAATAAATGTAAGGCATTGCATCACTACTTTTCTTTAAAAAAAAAA